CACCTCATTGCAAATGTCGTTGAAACTATTACCTTTTCGACATGTAATACATACACTATGTGCATTCTCGTGTGTATGTGTGTGTACGTGCAAGTGTTTACACTCAGCAAAAGGGAGAGTCGGTTCTTGGATTGAAGACTGTTTTGCGCCAGAGATATTACTTACTTAAATAGAGTATTAAGTAAAGTTTGCGCTTAGTTTATCCATTAAACTAAACCCATAAATGTAACTAATTAAACGAACAACGAATTTCCATTATGTTCATTCAATTCATTCAAGGAACCTCTTTCTATTGTTTTGTGCTCCGCTCAGTGTAGAGCTTTGTGTGTATTTAGTGCTGGGTAAACACTGTTTACTGCGGGGGGAAGGGACATTAGCAGATAACATAAATGTCTTAGTAACATATCCGGTTTTATTGCCTGGTTGGTTTTGTGTGTTTGCTCTGATGTGAATTGGGAGGCCTGTTGCCTTTGTGGGGTTGCCTGTCATCTTCGTAGTCAACATCGTGAGTCGTCTGTTTGCCACTTTGTCTCGTTAAACATTTGAAAGGGACTGCACACACACACACACACGCTTACACTAAGAGTATGTTTTGTGAAATCAAATGTAGAAAGCAAATGAAGCGTACTCTGCTCGGCTCTGTGTTTGCTCTCTTCCTGCTTTGCTCGGAGAATCCGACGTCTACTCTCTCTTTCGTGTGTGTGCCACGAAAACTAATTATACTGTTAAATGCGTTTGTTTAACTGCCAATTTAATTAAGGTTATGCCTTTGTTTGGCCAATCCCTAATCTGCCAGCCTTAGCTTGTTTCGATACTCGCACGCACACATGGGGGCCAAAAATTCCAGCAACATTTGGGCAATTACCAAACTTTCCACATCCCTGCAGACCGTAAACACACTCTGCCACATGCTGCACATAAAAGTTGTGGCATTGTGGTGGCAGCAGGGAAATGCGGCGAGGTTAAGCTCCAAGCTTTGCCTAAAATGCTCCGCGACAGCATGAAAATTATGTAAAATAAGTACAATGTGCATTTTGTGCACCAAGCGAACATCCAAATAGCACGAACAGTGCCGTGCAAAAGTTTTCGCATTTGCGTTAAGTGAATAAAAATTTGTTACCATTTCTAATATGAGCTCAGCCGCACTGCCACGTGTGTACTATATGTATATAAAGTTTATATATATTATATTCAATATTTGTTTAGATTAAATTAAGCTCTAATCCCTGGTGTTTATGCTTCTGCGTAACAAAAAACGTTCAAAAACTGGAAAACTCCTTCCCCGTTAATGTTATTAAATCGTTCTCATACTTTTTGCACTCACTGTTTGGCTTTCACACCACACGCATTAACTGTAAAAAGAGAGAGGGAGAGAGAGAGATAACTCTGACAAGAGCAATTACAATTACATATGGGACAAGGGACGGGCAGACGGACAGACGGACACTGTGGTCGCCGTGTCACTGCATTCTCGTTCGTTGTTGTTGTTGTCCATTATGCTTCTTGGTGTTATTGTTGTTGTTGTGTAGCGGTTACGTGCAAACAAGCACCAAAAAAAAACACACACAAACAAACACTGTGTGGAGCGGAGTGTGGAATGGAATCCACAACAGACTCCATCGATGAGGGCCATCGGGTTATGAACATGTAATTACGTTTTAAGTGCTAAATGGTGAAATATTTACGAAAAAACTATGTAAACTTAATTGAAAATGTCATAAATGTGTGAACAAAAACACACACAACTACAGAACACAGAGCCTTCTGTTGGCGCATATTGTTGCATGAACAGGCAGGAACCCCACTGCACTGACAACAGCAACATTCGAGGCTGGCAGTGGCCGACAAACTGTTGGCCAGCATGCGGTTAGGAGTCCGGCAAATCAGGGAAACACGGCACCAACCATAGACCTGGCCAGGGACTAACTGTAACAGAGTGTGGAGGAAAAACTTGGCATTTAAATGCTTTTCGGGCATCGTGCAACACACAAAAGCCGTGGGGGCATTTATCATTTCTGGTGGCTGCAGAGACAGAGACAGAGACAGACTCTGGCTGTCCGACTGCCACTAATAATGACGTCAGCAGCATGCAGAGCAGAGCATGAAATTTATGCACATCGCTTTGGGGGATTTTGTGTGAGTGTGTGCGTGGGAGTAGAGCCTGTTATGTTATGTATGTGCATATATTCGAGCGACATTCGACATTCGACATTCGACAGAATCAGCAGAAGTAGCAGCAGAAGCAGAAACAGAGCATTGGGTCAGCAGTAGCATAAAGATTAATGTCTGTGCGCCATTTGTCGTCACTCTACTGGCACACAAAAAACAGAGGGAGAGAAGAAAGAGGCGAAAACCTTTTCCACCGCTGCTCGCTGCCTTCGCAGCTTCTGCTCTCTGGTCCAGGCTCTCGTTTCTGTAAATATTGTTGGCACTTTGTCTTAATTGCTTAAAAATTACTGACATGGAAAATGAACTTGGAGAATGTTTGCCATGTTTCGCCCCCATCCCCCCCCAGCACCCAGTCCGACTTTCATTCTCCTACTCTGGCTCTGGCACACTGTCAACGATTCGGCAGCCCTAACGACAAATACTTGCAAATATTATTGTAGTCGAAATTCAGGAACTATTTATCATTCAGTTGGCTGCTCTGAGCGGGGGAAGAGGACAAGAGCAGAGCAGGGCAAGGACCGTTTGACAAACTTAATTTATTAATGCACAAGCTCTGTCTCTGTCTCTGTCTCTGTCGCTCTGAGTCGCTCTGGGTCGTCGCTCTGTTGCCTTGTTGCTTAAAAGGACATTAATTTTCATTTCATTTGGCGATAAAACAAAGACTTTCCATTTTAAATATCAAGTGACAACTAACAAATAAAATGTGCCCCGTAAGTCTTTCTCGGGTAATTGTTTCCCCGAGCTCTCATCGTGATGTGCCACTGCCACTCTTCGTAAATCTTTTCTGCTGTCATGCCTCGTCATTTGCATACTTTCCCTAGAAGATGGAGATAAAGATGGAGATGAAAGTGCTTCCCTCGCACACAATCATAATGTGAACTAAGACTCGTGTCTTCTTTTTGGTGTCCAGCTGACAGGCAAATGGCATTTGTGAGCCGCCGTTGCCGTTGCCGTTGCCGGTGCCCGTTACCATGACCGCTTGAGCTGTAAGCTGTAAGCGGCAAGGCCGTGGCTTTAGCTGATTGATATGCATGCGAAATCTAGGCATCACTTGGCTTTGTTTATTGACAGGCAATTTGCGGAGCCAGCATTTCAATTTGCCAATTGACAGCCGCATCACAAAGACATCAGCGATAGCAACACATCCCATCCCCACCATTCATCCATATAAGTACCTGACCGTATGCCAATAGCAGCCAGCCAGAGGAGTTTCCAAGGAAAAATAATCTTTATCGAGTGCCAAGCAAATAAACACACATAAATTTCCATACAGCAAATAGCGCAAATCAATCAAAGGCATGTCGCTCGCTTCGAAAGGCTTAAATAAAAATCAAATACAGCAAAAATATTTTATTTTCCAACAGCTGAATGCATTCGATGGCCGTGGGTGGCCAGCCACAAAAATTGTGGCTAAATTTTAATTAGCCCCATAGCCGAAATTTCAGCATGGCTCACCTCTGCGCTCGTGCCGCTTCTGTGGCAAAGAAAGCGATTTGCATTATTTATGGCTGCCTTGGTCTGCGCTCTAATTGAAACCTCGAAATAATTGGCCCGCATTGACCAGCAGCTTAGCCAATTAATGCGGCCATTTAATTTCAGCTCATGGGGGAATTGCAAACAGCGCGGAGCTGAATGGTACGGCTCTGGTTAGGCCCGGACCGATAAGGAATGTCCTCAATAAAATGAAATTAGCCGCTCAAGTGCAGCAAACATTTTGGAAATTACTGGGCACCGCCATGCCATTGCCTTTGCATTTGAGTGTACATTAAAAGCACAATGGAAAAAGTGTCATGGGTTGGTCCGTCCATTCCTCTGGGTCTGGCTCTATCGATGCAGTGGGGCGGCCGCCATACGATTGTGCGAGCTGTGTGGGCTGACGATTGGGAAATTGCTGCAATCTTGCTGCAGCTAAGTGGCCGTAAAACTGCCAGCCAGCTTTACGGCGCCCCCTTGCCATTGTCAATGGTGGAAAAGTGCACGAAAATTAGACTGACATTGGAGGGTTTGGGTTTGGGTTTGGCTTTCGTTCTCACTCTCACCCTTTTTGAATACACGAAATGAAAATACACACAATAAATGCTGTCTGTCAGCCCATGGCTGTTGCCATTGGTTGTTTGCCATTTTGCGTACTGTTTTTTAATCGATTGATTGAAATGTTTGCCACAAATTGATTGATGGCATGCAGCCAGCCATGTTCCCATGTACATCGTATATTTATTCATTTCTATGGCATATGCCACGACACAGTGTGGATATACATATATATATTTTAAATTGATATAGCCATCAGAGCGTAGTGTGGATGGAGCGGAAGGAAATGGTTCACATGTATGCTGTATGTGTGTGTCGATTGATTGGAAAGCTTGCCAAAGCGAAACCTCAAACTAAGTTTCGCAAATAAACTCCCTTTGAGGCTACCCAAAAATAACCAAAAATAACTTTTAAAATTCCCTCCCTGCTCTACTCGAACTCTTTCTGCTCTGGGAGAGTTTTGTAGGGTATTTCCGCGGTTGTGTCGACTTCAAATGTTTACAAGTTATTTTCGCCTGTTTTGGGTTGGGTTTCGGATTTCTTTTTTGCCGTGCAAGTGGATTTGTAAAGAGATTTGACATGTTAAAAACTTGATTGATTGATTCGCCTCATACATGTACATGCATAAGTGAGTGTGAGTGTGAGTGTGAGAGAGAGAGAGAGCGACAGAGCTTACGGCTTGGCTTGTAAGACAAGCCACTTACAAGTAGACTTTTGAGGCAATTTATCAAATGGATGAGGATGTTGGATATGTGTGTAAGCTCTCGAGCTCGAATTAGAGTTTCCAAGTAATTACTTACCGATCCACGGCAATGGCCACCAAGTGCAGAATGGAGGCAGTGCAGCAGAGCACATCGCAGGATGTCCAAATGTCGCACAGCTCCGGTCCAAGTATCCAGCCCTGGCTGATCTGTGTGCGGGATTGCGGTTGCGAGTGGAAGATAAGAGGCCATTAAGTTGGTTAGTCAAATAGACAATAAAAGTTGATGGCTTATTAAATTTGATGCTAACTCCCATCCCCATCCCCATCCCCATCCAAAGGGGCGCTTAAGGGGCCGACGTGGTACACCACAGAATGTAAAATATAATGGCTTCTAATAACAAAGCAAACACAGCAGGGATTGGGCTAGGGTTCGTATGCGAAAAACCCTTTATAAAGGGTCAACTGTCTGCCAAAGGTTCGCAGTCAAAAATCAACCATGAGGATCCTGTGGATAAGTTTGTGCCTCTGCAGCGGTGGCCTACTCTTGGCCGCCGGCCAACTGGGGTGGCAACACCATCCTGCAGCCAGGCAGAGTGCAGACGAGGATATCGGCACAGTATTGGACATACTCAATGAATTCGTGGATCGTAATGGCGTTTGGAACTTCATTACATTCACGGGGCACATGGATCTGATGCCCTCGTTTCAGCAGCGTTTGATGGAGAAGTTTCACACTCCGCTGTACGTTGTGGGATCGAACTTGGGACCCCTCAACCGACTCTACCTGAAGGCAACTAATGTGGTAGTCACTTTCTTCACCGGCCTGGACGATCCGACGCTCTCTGCCCTCAATGACACGCTGCTGAGTGAGAGTGCCTTCACTATTCTCTTTCTGCATCGACCAGCCACGGATGAGGAGGAGTTGAAGTACCTCAGCCCCAAGGAGATGCGAATCCTCTTTGGCATGTGCCTGCGCCAGCATTTTGGCCTTTGCCTTCTGGTCTTCCGGCGTGAGAAGATTTACGAGATATGGGCATACTATTACATCGCGAATGACATGACCATCCAGAGGATGAACAATCACGACAACAATTTTCAGAATATTCTCAGGCAGAAGAATTACAGGATCCTGGTACAGGTCATGAACGATATGCCAAATGTGTTTTGGGTAAGTTCGAGGAGAGCAATCACCAGTTTCTGGTCATTCAAGTCCAGTCTTTTGCAGTACAACTCAACGGGAAACATCAGAATTGGTGGCATCATTGGTATTATGCTGCAGGAGTTTATGCTCAACATGAATGCCACAATGGACATCCTGCCCATCGAGGGGCAGCAGAACTCTGATTACAAAATTTCAAAGAAATCTCGCGGTCGTATTGTGGATGTGGTAGCCAATCTGGTGGACGATGCCAGCCTATCGGAGACGTGTCCCGTGTTGGCCGACTCGAGGACTTGTCTCTTGGTGCCGCATCGCGTGCCAGCGCCGTGGATGAGCTACGTTTTCATTATTTTCGGTATATCCCTTAATGTTATATTCGTCGTGTTTATCCTGTGGTACACGGCCATCAAGTACCTGGCCAATGACCGGCGCTCGCTGACGGGAGCACTTTTGAGCGCCCTGCGGCTGACATTGGGCATTCCCATGCCTAACAGGGAGTTTCTTCGGCTACGTTTGCCGGAGAAATTCATGGAAGTGTTTTCATTCCTCGGCATGGCCATGTTTATCAGTGTTACTGGCAGCTTATTGGCCACCAGCCTTACCTCTGGTGTATTTAAGCCAGCCGTCACGAATCTGGCCACCATGCAAGCCAGTGACCTCCTCATTATGACCAATGATCCCACCGTGCCGCTGCTCTTCCACCAGAATCAATTGCCGCGCAGTCTAGCCGGTCGTCTGCGTGTCGTGGACTCGAAGACAATGTTCCAGCATTTTGTTGATTTGAATTACAGCTATGCCTACGTGGTGCGGACACCGAACTGGCGTGCCATGAGCCTCTATCAGCAGCACCTCAAAGTGCCCAAGTTCCGCCTGATCGGAAATGAGCTCTGCACCGCAGCGCGACTCCTGCGTCTGCCCATCTCCACGCAGTCGCCGCTGAGGTTTGTCTTTGGCAGCTTTTACGAACGGATCTTTGAGTCGGGCCTGCTGTTAAAATGGAACCGAATGGGCTTTGACAACTATCGCGCCGTCATAGGCATCAAGAAGCTGCCACTGGACACGCGTATCTTTAAGCCGTTGCCGCTCTCATTTTTCACGAATGCCGCTTGGATCTATGTGGTCGGAGTGCTACTGAGCATCTTATCGCTGATCATTGAGCGTCTCATCAGGGCAACTTAGTTAACACTGAACTATCTTTGCTATGCTTTAATAAATCCCCGCACACTACTCTCTCGTACTCACCTCGTATACAGCTCCCAGGGGCATCACCAGGCAGGCAACAAACAGATCAGCAACGGCCAGTGAGGCCACCAAATAGTTGGCCACATTCTGCAGATTTCGTTCCAGTATGATGGCAGCTATAACAAACACATTTCCTGAAATGGTAGAGAGCAAAAAGAGAGCAGTGAGCAGTGAGCAGTGAGCATCTAGCGAAACTCAATCAAATGGTGATTCGAAAACTTTGCCAGCGAATGAGGCGAATGTGTGCGAGAGAGAGGCTTTCAGCGGCCTAATTGCGAAAATTGACTCGGGACCGAAAGTTTTCAATTCAATTACGTCCCAAGTCGAAACCGATGACTCCGGTGGTGGAAACTGAACCGAAACGAAACAAAATGAAACCCTAAAAACCCCGAAAACCGCAACGGAGAACAGATAAACTTTTTTTTTCCTTTCGAAAATTGGCAAACTTCTTCTTCGAATGAGGCACCGAGGCGAGGGCCGTGGCCCCAAAATGAAATGAGAATCTTATTAAACTTGTCTTACCCGCAATGGCACTGTTACAGTTGCACTCGCAATGCATTCCCTTGCACCCGTGTTGCACTTGGCAGACAAAGACAAAGTTCACAAAAGCCAAAATAAACGACATGAGCTAATCGCACTGTCGTAAACTTTAGCCCAAAAGCCCCCGACTCAGGGGGTGGTGGGGCAGAGCATGTGAGAGGCTGGGAAGACAAGACAGCCAACCTTGATGTCTGCAAGTTTTGGGTTTTCCTGTTTCGCCCACTGGCTGTCACGACGTCTACTTGTGGGCCCACCACTTGAAGGTGTAAAAGAAAGCAGTGCAGGCGCTGCCATGCAGAGCTACACTCTGGAGGTGCGAGACATGCAATTTGTGGCATTGAATTCGCCGACAGTCGCCGGCTGAGTGCCACCAGCGACACACACGAACATATGCCGCCTGGAGACACACTTGTATTTGTGTGCACACACTCGGATACGGGCACGGGCACGGGCACGGGCAAGACACATGCAATTAGATACTTGAGTGTCAAAGCGAAGGCAAGTAGACAAGCGTCATGCCTGCCAGGTGCAGCGCGAGGTTTGCTTCATAAATCATCATTTTTCTCTATTAAATTCCCCCTTTAAAGTACTCAGGCAACCCACAACCCACAGGCAGCAGTGGCATATTCCGGGATTCCTTTTCTTTCTGTTGCTGCTGCTGCTGGTTTGGAGTGACCAAAAGCGACAAGCAATCTGGCTAAAATTAGCATTTTCTTTTTAAATGCTAAATGCTCGAGAGACGGCGACAAAAACTCTTCAAAAGTTCAAAAGTGATGAGAAAAATGGGAGGGGAAAAAAAAACTATGTGACGAAAATAAGAGAAACGGGAGGACCGACTGAGGCAATAAGAAATCCAACTAAATAAACACAAATTAAGGCAAAATAGCAGTGGAGAAACAAATGGAAAGTCTCATCGCGTGAAGGACGAAAATCGCAGCACACTTTCCAGCAAGCAGCGCTCGTCGTTACATTTATTTTCGCCTCCTTGACTCGACTCGACTCGACTCTGCTGTGCTGTTGCCGTTTTAAATGAAACGACATGAAATCTACTTAAATTAATGAAATCAATTTCCGCTGAAAGCTCTCTCTGTTTGCCTCCACTTTCACTTGTGCCTTGTGCCGTTTTCATTTGTATCTGAGTTTGAGTTTTGGTTTTTTGTATACATTTCTTTCGATTTTACAATGTGAACATAAAGTTTAGCTCGTGGAAATGTGTGCATTGGATGAGGGAGGGCACTGTGATTGATTGATTGATTGACTGTCAATTTTAATGCGGCGTGTCCTTGCCTAGATGAATGCCTGTCCCGCTACTGTGGCGCTGTTTTGTTTGCCATCGGATTTATGGCTAAATGCGTGTAATGAATGTAGCCGGCAACAAAAGCAATCCGCAAGTCCCAGTCCCAGTCCCCAGTCCCCAGTCCCAGTCGTTGTGCTCTCTACCCATCATTGAGCCGCCTTATTAATAACTGAGACTGAGACTGAGCCGATGCCTCGGCTGAAGCTGCTGCTCTGAGCCATTATAACAGCAATAATAAATAATATAAAATGCTCTGCCAGTATCATAAATATCAGTTACGCGTATTTTATTATCTACAACTGAGGAGCCAAGGCAAGGCTGCAGCTCTTCGGCCCCTACATCTGCTTTTTGCCACCCTCCAATCAAGTCGGGCTGCCTTCTTATTGAATTGTTTGCCTTAGTCCCCACGGATTTGAAGGCGGTGGGGGAAGGCCCCAGTGGAAGGCCCCGGCGCGTGCCTGAGACTGGCATTCGAGGAATTTATTTGGGGTGGCGACTGAGACTGAAATAATTATGTCTATGTTTGGGCATTGGCTTAAGTAGAACCCTCCCTTCCCTGCTCGTCGCTCTACTCACCAATGATGGTCACCAGTATCATCAGTCCAAGCAGCACCGATGTCACTGCCATTCGCAGCAGATGCGTGAAATCATCCTCGGCCACTTCGCTTGTCGTCACATTGATGGCCGTGCCATTGCCATTGGCCGTATCCAGTTGCCCGCTCTGATTCACCATCACACCGAAGAGGCCCAGCATTGAGTCGTTGCTGTTGCTGCTGCTGCTGCTGATGCCATCCAGGAGCAGTGTGTCATTGAGCAGCATTGCCCCCAGGCCCACGGCCACATTCGTATAATTGTTGTCCAGATCAATGAGCTGGAGCGTCGTTGCTGTTGCTGTTGCCGTTGCCGTCGCCATGGCTACCTCCTTGCCATTGAGGGATCCTCCTGCGGTGGTCAGTGCTCGGTGTGCAGCCTTGGCTGTGATCCTGGCTGCTGCGGCGGCCACCGAGGCACTGGCAGCTGCTGCCGCCAGCGCGGCTGTGGTCAGGGGTGAGGTAGGGGCGGCGGTATGGTCGGTGGTAGGCGGACTCATGCCTAGGGTGCTCGGAAAATGTTTTCTCTTCTTGGGCACAGAGCCGTAGTAATGTTTTCGCTGCTTATTGTTGTTTGTGTCCTGCACCTCCAGCGACTTTTCATCATCGTCCTCATCCTCTTGCTCCTTGTCGTGGTCGTCATCGGGTAGATCGGGTTGGGGTTCGGCTATGAGATAGGCATTATCATTCATCGTGTTGGCGATGTAAATGTAGTCGAGTGCATCTAAAAGAGAGAGATTTAAAGGCTGTGCCAGCAAGAGTAGACTCTCATGATAACCCACCATTAAAGTTTGTCTCGTGCGCCATTTTGTTGCTGCTTTTTCGGGGGTTATTTCGCTTAATTGCAGCCGCAGCGGAAATGAGGCAAGCGAGTGAGCAGACGGAAACGGAAGCGCGACTATGCAATGGCAATGGCCTGAAACGGGCACTCGTCCTGCTGCTGTTGCTGCTGCTGCTGCTCTACCTGCTGTGTGTCTCCTGTGCTTGTGTGTGTGTGGGTGTGCTGGCAGTGATGCTGCTGCTGCTGCTGCTGCTGCTGATTCAGCTTGTCCTGATGGTGGCTACTCAGACACTGTTGGCAGCGCATCGTGACACAACGAGATGCCCTCATCAGCGTCTCCCTACCTGCCGCCGCTCTTCCTTTTCCCAGTGTGTGTGTGTGTCAGGCACAGGATGTATTATCCTAACGAGCTTTCAAGTGTTTACACGGAGCATTTACAATTTGGGCTTTCGGCTTTCGGCTTTTGGCTTTCACTTTTCTTTTCTTTTCGCTCTGTTGCGACTTCCTTCTGCTGATTTGAGGCTGCTTTTGTTGCTATTGTGCTGCTGTTGTTCCGGCAGTGTTGCTTTTGTGTTGCTGTTGTTTTTGTACTCTCTTTTATTTTGGGGACTGTTTTTTGTATGGTTTACTTAAGCTCTTCCGTTTGGCTTCGTGCTCGCCCATTTGATGTGCCATTTTCATATCCTTAAAGTCAATTCCACATCCGGCTATCCCCAAAGCCAATTGCTGCATTCTGCCTGCATGCTGGGCCGTCAACCTGCAACCTGCAACCTGCAATAAAAATTAAATTAGACATTCAATTCTCCATCGACCAGTAGCAAATATTTGTAGAAAGATAAATTCAATTTTTATTCGTTTTGCGTTTCGTGTTTTTGTGTTGTCTATTCTCATGTTTCTGCTGGAAAATAATTTCCTGTAGGTCTGTGGCCTTTTTGGCAACAAAATTTATTGAATTCAATTTCCTCTTTGCATTGTGCGTACGTAGAGAGTGTAAATGAATTTGAAATGTTGCTGCTGCTACAACTGCCTCGTTTCTCCGCACATCGCCTCCCGTCCGCTTGTTAAATAATTTAACGCAATTTCTGCAATTACACAGAATCACTTGGCACGATAAATATACAAAAAAAAAATGGAGACTGGCAGGCAAGCAAAGCGTTTGTTTTCCTTTCTCCCTTTCTCTCACCATCTGCCACACACCACCACATGTGCGGGTCGGAAGTTCGGCGTGCGTGCGACAGGCGCCATTGCCAGCGGCTGCCTCCTTTCAGCAAAATAAATTTAAAACGCATAAAAATGAAAGAAAACGAAAGAAAGCGAATGCCCCAAGAGCGTTGGCGAGGCGAGGCGAGGCGAGGCGAGGGAGCTGTCAAGCGCCTGGTAAAATGTCATCGTATGGCACACACACACTCTAGTGTGGCGCCATAAAACCCCGAGCTAGCGAGAATGTTGCATATTTAATGCCAGCTGAGTTTATAGTCCCCGACCGAACACACTCTAGCCCGAAAATGGGGAACATGGCCAACATGGATGTAGCATGGCCTAGGATAAGACTTGCAGTGATGACCCAGACAATCCCAGAAGCAGAACTTCCATCTCGAACTTCCCCAAAATGCAATTATCGCATTGAGTCTAATGAGAAAATTAACCATGCATCGCAAAAGAGTCTCGCAGCCGCGACTTGGCTGGGCTTGTGCTTGTGTCTGTCTGCAATTGGATTTGTTTAAAAGTTGCAGGCAGCATCCTGGTGCCTGCCTGCACTGCTAATTGCACAGATAAAATGCTAAGTGAGCTATTCTGAGAGCCATGGGAATACTGAGCAGAAACAGGGCAACAGAAAAGCCGAAAAGCCAGCCTGGAGAGCGACTGAATGTACAGCTCATTAAAATGATTCCCTCACATGCGGCAGTGCCGTTGAGTCGCTGAGTCTGTCAGACAATGGCACAAAAGACGACTTGCAGGGCTTTACCCGTGCTGCACTGTTCCACCACTTGATTAGCTGGCACTTGGATAAGCTTTTGTCGGTTATATTCACGAGTAGAGGCGCCCGATGGATGGCTGCTGAATGCCAGTTCCTTGTGTAGTGGGGAATTCGGTTTTTGGACAAGTGCATAATAGACTCACGCAGATAGTACAAGCCTCAAACTGTGGGATTCTGAGGGTTCAGGGATTCTTAGAAATGGAAATGGTTTCCACCGCACAATAACCTTCAAAGGCCACTTACCGTGATATGCTTATGTGTCTGTGTCTGTGTCTGTGTCTGTGAGTGACCATGTAACTAACATTTTCAAGTTCAAAGTCGATTTAATGCGGAAGTTTATGCCAGCCCATGAGTGCTCCAAGGGAACTCTGGCGGCCCTGGCACAGGGGAGTGCACACGAACGAAAAGGTTGGATGGCTGTATGGATGGATGGGTAAGAGTCAGTACGTGAGCGTGGCTCGTTTGAAGTGCATTTGAGTGTGAAGACGACACATGTCGCACACACACACAGATGCACCTGGGTATCGTGAAAGCGTCTCTGGCCCCGCATCTGCGATGAGTGCACTTGTTGCGGTTCGTAACTTGTCCAGCCCTCGCCTGCGGCATGCATTATGCAACTGTATGCCAACTGTGTATCTGTATCTGTATCTGTGTATCTGTGTCTGTGTCTGTCTGTGTGTTTATCTCTGTGTACGAGCATGTCACTCGCTTTTTATAGTCGTGCGGGTACAGGGGAAAGGTGGGCTTATCGCATATTTATGCAGTGTGTCCTTTGAAGCAGCCGACCAGGCTGAGTCACACAAACACAAACACGCTCACCGGGCTATAAATCAACTTTGGTTCACCGCACTCTGCTCTGTCGCACCCCCTATCGCCTATCCCCTATCCCCTCCCTATACCTAGTCATATCCGCATCGCAGCAATTACGAAAATTGCCTATCTATGCAATAGTTGTGGCTGCCTTGCTGCCACGAGCCTTGCGCTTGCTCTACCGGCAGAATTCCTGGCGAATAAATAGTCACCAGACGCACTCTATCTTTGCCTTTCGTTCTTGTTTGCCATAAATCAAGCGAATGGCCGAACGAAGTGTTTTCGATGGATTGGGAGCAGCAAGCAAGGGAAATATAAATAATTATGCACTTTTTGGGGCACATTCTGTTAGCTCAAATATCTACTCCGGCTGCCCACAATTGTAATGCATGAGTGTGTGGCCTCTGTGTGTGTGTGTTTGTGGCCTATAAAATTTCAGCTTTTTCCTCGAATTCAAGCCAAAGCGGCGATGTCACATTGTTTGCCCCCTGCCAATGACAATGCCAGCTGTTTGCTGTTCGTAAGAGCGGGGTGCAGAGTGAATGAAATGGAATAGAATAAAATAAAGTAAAATAAATGGCATACATTTTTCATGCGACGCTCGATTTGATTCACCGCACACAGAACACACACAGACACACAGAATCATAGAGATGCAGACATGACCATACATTTATCAGCTGTTCACATGCATTCCGAAGATACTAATGTACATATTAGTCCGGTTCTGTAAGTGTAAGTGGCTGAATGGGGACCACCCAGCAACCCTAGCCCTTCCCCGTACGCTGTCTGTGCTCTGGGCTCTGTATGAGTTGTTTGTTGTCGGTTCCTTTGCACCACTTCCGCTTCATTTCATGCGCCATTCTTCTCTATCTTTGCAGTCGAGAGTGTTTGCGCCTTGTTTTCCGCATACCCACCCACCCAGTTCTCAACGGCCTTTCATTGGCCTGACTGCCGCCTGCAAGCCTGTCTGCCACCTCCATGTCTCATGCCGCACAGTGCCGCACTCCCGCAGTGCCACTTGCACTCCCCGCTTGCACTTGCGGTGGCAAGCTGTTATGTATACAGCATCAGCTCTCGATTGCCTGCCTGTTTTGTTTCCCATTTCCCATTTTCCATTTCCCATTTTCCAAGCTCACATTTTCACAATGCTCCCTCCCTTCCTCGCTACTCGTGCTGTTATTGCAGTTCCTTGCTCTGGCCTGCAATTGCTTTTTCCTTTGCCAATCAGTCTGCTGCAAATGAATTATATGGCTCGAGTCTGTGCCGGCACCTTGGCTTACTCTCGCTCTCTCTCTCTCTCTGAGTTTCTCTTTTCTCTGAATGGTTTATTACCCATACGCAGCGTTGGGCATTCGAATGGCAATTAGCCTGGTCATAGCTATTAGTTTTTGTCGAGAACTCGGCTCTAATTGCTCATTAATATTCAATGGCCTGCAGTTTTTGTTCAATTATGTTCAAACGAAAATATACAAAAGGGAAAGGGCCGCCCTCTCCCATTTGTATTTCTATCTGTCCAAAACCAACCAAATAAAAAGCTGACATGGAAATGAACAAATATTTAAACTCTAGCTTATGCGAAAAAATCAATTTCAATGCATTTTGCAACTAAAAAACAAAACCAGAAAGTGAAAAACTAAAACCGGGAGAGTTCAGTACGCGGACTACTCGCAACCGGGGATACACTGTCAAAGGGATTCCCGCTTGTGGTCATGACAGCTGGAAATCTAATTTTATTTACAATGAAAACAGCAAAATGCGAATTCAACACATTTCGAATGCTGACAATTTGTGGAAAAATATAAACTATTTTTTGTATAATTCCTCTGACATTCTGCTGTCATCAAGCGCATGTCATACAAAGACAAACACTTTGCATCGATAAATATAAAGAAATATAATCAAAAACATATTCATGGCAACATTTTGGCAAATCAATTGGCTGCTTGGAGATCCCCCTGCCTGGCGTGAGGGTAAATTTCGCATTGGCCAAGCGAAGATTGAAAATGTTTTGGAACGTAACAAATTGAAGCCGCGCGCTTAATTAGGGTACAAATATTGGTCGAGCTGGGAATGGGTTTGGATTGCAAATCGATTAAATGTTGCGATATTTCAAGAGGTTTTCAGCACGCCACAAGTGCATGAATCATTTAAATATATTTTTAGCCCGAAATAGTCGAAAATATGGCAAGTGCCAAATTGAAATATTTAATATTCGATTATTCCATTGAAACAATGAACGCAAAACTCTAGCAAGTGGCAAGATGGGCGGGAGTGAAGAGAGGAGAGCCGCAATAAAATATATGGCCCGGAATTGTTGGCTTTTAATTACTTTTGAGCAGCGCTGTCTGCCAGCATCCAAGCGCTGTTGTGCGGCTCTATATTTTCTTTAATGTCAGGGCGGAATGATATAAATTTCCTCATACAATATCCTGCATTTAAATAACACTTCCTGCACCAGCAGCAGCAGCAGCAGCAGCAGCAGCAGCAGCATGTCTAGGGCGAAGGCATCCGTCGACGAAGTCCTCCCTCCGCTGTCCATACGTCAGACCCCGCGATGCTATGTCCCGACGTTTCCAGACAGTGAAATGAATTTATTTGCCAACAGCAACAACAACAACAACAACAACTGCAATCTTTACTCCAGTACCCGGGAACTGGGGGACTCAAGGACCAGTTGATTTCGCGCTGAATGGCGTGCGAAGGCACTTTGCTTCATTACTTTGTGTGTGTGTGTGTACCCATGGACCCTATCCTCCACCATCCTTCCTGTAGATCCTTTCTATGCTATGTGTGCGCCCAAAAGTGTGCTATGGATTGTTGTTTATTCGGGCCTTGGGCCGGACATCGTCGTCTTCCCAACACGAATAAGCCCAGTGATGATGGGGCGACTGTGGGGAGCAGGCCATCTTTACCACACAATAAAAATTTATGAGCCTTGTGCGTGTGTCCCTGTGTGTATCTGGGTGTAACCTTCAGCCCA